TCTCGGCCCACAGGTGCCTTCCAGCCCAGCAAGCTCCTGGGAGCACGGACTCAGCAGCGCACAAGTGGTTGCATTAAGCTCAGGCACTCCCGTCCTGGACGCCAGCCCCCTGGAAACAAGCGCTTGCTTCGCAGTGGGGCTGCACTTCCAGGATGCAGACTGTGCCAGTAAATTATTCACATCGCTCCTCTCCCACCATGCAGAGAAATAGTACAGAGGTGGGTGCTCTTCAGGTCGAAATTGCTCAGCTCTTTACTATTTAATGACCCCTTTGAGGGCCACACGCGCTCAGCTCTCCCTCCGCAGGCCCAAAGGCACAGGCCCTCTATTGAAACCATGCCGGGCCATTCAGTAAGAGCTGCTTGCCCTGCTAATGACCCTCGCAGTTGCTCTGCCCAAGTAGGGGATGGAAACTTATTTGGCTCCTGAGCTTCAGGACATGAAAAGGATGGTGCAGAGACCAGGAAGGAGCAGCTCTAATGGATGCCTTGTGCTGTAGACCTGCTGGGCGAGGGACGGGGTGGGTGGTGGTGGTTTTTGCTTTGCATGGAGGCAGTTGCTGGTCTGATCTGGCCAGCCGGACAGCGAGACGCCAGCTGCCTCATCGTTTGCTTTGTAATACGGTGCAATCCAGAGGCTCTGACTAGGATCTGGGCCTTGGCGTGCCGGGGACCAGAGCTTTTAGTCACAACAGGCAAGAGTCGCCAAGGGCACGAGGGGAAACTGGGGCCCAGAAAGGGAAAGGGGTTGCCTGAGGTCACCCAGCCAGACAGTGGCAGAGCTCGAATCTGAACCCAGGTGTCCTGAGTCTCAGGCCAGGCCCGTAGCCTCCAGGGCCCCCTGGGTGACAGCTTGCTGTGGCGGGGTCACCTCCAAGCATGGCGCAGCCACCTGCTCCTGCCAACGTGCTCCCAGCCTGGAAATGCACCGGTGAGGCAGCTCGAGGGGGTCCCTCTGCAGCTGCTCCAGAGCCCCTGGTCTCCAGCGTGGGGACAGCAGCTGCTTGGGGAGTCCCTTGCTCACCGCCAGTGGGTGGCCTGGGGAAGCTGGTTCACACCTTTGTGGTTCAGCTAGGGCAGGGGTGGCCAATTTGCTGTATGGGTGCCATAAGTGACAAAGGCAACCCATGCATTTGGCTGGCAGCTGATCAGGGAGGGGAGACAACCCAGCTGCAAACAGCAGGAAGCAGCAAGCAGAGCAGATTAGGCAGGGACCAGAGCAGCAGATCGGGCACAGAGCACAGGGCAGGCAGCAGAAAGCAGAGCAGCAGATCAGGCAGGGAGCACAGGGTAAGAAGCAGAAAGCAGAGCAGGGGTTAGACAGGGAAAGGCGATCGGCACTTGGGGACGGCGCAGGGTTTATATATAGCCCATGCCCGCTGAAAAGCTGGGCCCCCACTGACCTAGACCAGGAGGCTCCCCCGTGGCAGCTCCTGTTTGCTCCCTGCTCTGGCTGCCGGGCAGCCCCTCTGCTTCCTGCTAGGGAAGCAGCTCCCGAGGGAGGTGATGCTAAAGCCGTGAACAAGCAGCAAAACACAGCCTGCTCCGTGCAACCAGGGGATTAAAAGCAGTAGTTACAGATGGAAAAACACAGCCCCAGAGAGCGAAGACCCAGGGCTCAGAGTCCCTTGTGCACGGCCTACCGAGGCACCGTGCCATCCCGGGGTCTTCCTGCAGATAGGACAGAAAGCAGAAAGTAAAGCAGCAAATGAGGCAGGGAGCAGAAAGCAGAGCAGCAGACCAGGTAGGGAATTCAGGGCAAGCAGCAGAAAGCACATTCCCACGCCCGTAGCTGAAAGCACGTGCTCTTGGCAGGTCACGTCTTTGTGCATGTACCTATAAATCGGTACCTTCCCAGCGCTTGTGTGCACGCGTGAGAGCTTGTGTGCGCGCTCAGTGATGGGGCAGCTGCGTTTGAGCTAGAGGTCGAGGGATTAGGAAGGGACTGGGAGGGAAACAGAGGCCTGAAGAGATGAAGAGCAGGCGGGCAAGACCCAGGCTCAAGTCACTTCACACCCCGCTCAGTGCCCACACTGCCACGTCCAGCCGCTGCTAACCTGGGCTAGCTCCGCAGTTCACAGCCTCCGCTCTGAGCCCCGCTGCATTGGCCGACTCAGGTCAGAGCATGAAGGATGTACTTGATTGCAGCTGCAGGGGTGCAAGACAAGCCAAGCAGCCCACACGTGCCCCGTGTCAGAGCACAAAGCCAGGGCAGTTTTGAGGTGCTGGCTACGCACTAGGCTGCAAAGTGCCCTCTGCCTGGGCACGGGAGTGAGATTGCAGAGGACGCAGCTCCGGCGTCTGACAGAGCCCTCTGCGTGAGGGGCCCAGGTGTGAACCAGATGTGCCAACCCTGCTGGGGACCTTCCCCATTTTGCTGACAGACAGAAGACTGGCCCAAGGTTGCGGTCAGTCTGTGGCAGAGCTGGGAGCAGGGTCCAGACCTCTCAGCCCCTCCGCACTGTTGCAGGACATCCCCCCTCCCCAGAAGACACCGAAGTGCAATCCAGTCCTTGCAAAGCCCAGGCCTGACCGTGGATAACAAGCTTGGTCTCCTGCTGCTGAGGAGTTTGCAAGCGTCTAAGCTACAAGATCATTGTTGGTATCCAGCGGCTGGGCTCCCGTTGGGGCTCAGGGGATGCACACTCATCCCCCAGCCCCTGCGGATGCCCACAGCCCTGGCTCAGCTCCAGCAATGGGACAAAGTTTTCCCTCCCTCCCCTGTTATCTCTCAGAGTCCCGCTGCCCTGCACATTTCCCAGGGCTGGGCTCCACCCATTGCTGCCTCTAGGTCTGATTATCTTCATTTTTGCCTTGCAGGACTTCTGGGTAAGCAGCAGCTCCCTGCTAGCAGCCCTCAGGGCAGACCCCAACCCTCCGCCGGCCACCCAGCCTGGCACCCACAAGCCCTGCGGCAACAGCAGAGCAAATGCAAACCGATCATAAGCCACCCTGCGGAGGGGAGCATGCTCAGCCCTACATCGCAGGTGCTTTCCTCCCTGTTAGAAAAGCAGCAGTAAGGTCTGGGGAAGCTGTGGACTCCCCATCACGGGGGGTGTTCAAGAGGCTGCTTGGACATTGGGTTAGGGAGGATCCTGTGTGCTACTATGGGGTTTCCCCGGGCTTTGCTGGTGGCTGCATGGGGCTGGGAGGGAAGTCTGCCCTCCTCACCCCTTTCTGCTACACGGGTCAGTGTATTTTTCCCCCCACTCAGAGGCATTGGGTGCTGGCTGCAGCCCAAGCTGGGGATGGGGACTGGGCTGTGCCGATGCTCCGGCTGGGACCAAAGCCGGAGGGTCTTGTCCCACTGCTCAGGGTCAGATTGATGCCAGATTTGGGGTCAGGAGGGAATTTCCCTCCCTGGTCTGATCAGTATGGACTGAGGGAGGGGGGTTGTCTTCCTCTGTAGCAGGGGCACAGCCTCGGCCTGGGATCTCTCGAGCGTGCATTAACAACCTTTACAGCAGCAGGACGTTGGCTGCCTTGGTCCCCCTGCTTCATGTGTGGCAGGTCCGGGTGTGATGTCTTGTATTGCGTCCAGGGTGACTGTCTAGTTTTACTGAGAGCTTAGACAATGGATTTGTCTGGGATGGTTGGGATAGGGACGATCCTGCCTCAGGCAGGGGCTGGGACTAGATGCGACCTCTGGAGGTCTCTTCCAGCCCCAAGCCGACATGCACGCAGCCTCCGAGCACACGGCAAGAAAGCACTGGGCCAAGGCAGTTGCTAATTCAAGTGCACACTTATTTTTAGAGGGCAGCGACCAGTTTCTCAACGCGGGCCTTGCCCGCTCGCCTGTGAAGTGCGAGCAAGCCCCAAACCCCTGACGGGGACGGATAGACGCAGGGACCCGGTGAGATGCTGCTTCAGCAAAACTATCCGCTCACGGTGCCCGTCCCCTGGAAATCTCTTATTTAAAACCTCTCAGCCCTTTGTGTGTCTAAGCACAATGTGAATTACTATGCACCCCCTGCCTGCAGTCCACTCAATCAATGACAAGGGCCTGCCCCTTCTGTTTTTCGGCGGATGAAATATTTAGCACCTCTCATCCAGCTCTGGCCGAGGTCTGAAATGAAGTCTCCCCAGCCTCGGACTAACCCTGTCAGATCGTTCCAAGTATGTGGACGTAAACCCCGTCAGCCCCCCTCCTGGGATAACCTGCGCCAACCTAATGCCGGCGTGCATCAGCCTGACCGCTGGGTGCAGCGTGGAGGTCGTTTCCAGGAACGCGACCATGAGGCTTTCAGCTCTTTGGCCGTCTTTGCCGGCGCCTGCTGCAGCAGCCAGGGTGTCTCAGCACAGCCGAGGATTGATGAGCTCTGCAGTTTCCCGGCCTTGCGAAGTCGAGAGAAAGGAAGGAGCAGCTGGCAGGAACTGGAGCCGTGGGTGCTGCATTCGCCAGACCGCGGAGCAGCACGGTACCGTCTCTGCCTGCCTCCGGCTCCGGGTGGATGCTAGTTCCTCCACGTCGTCCTGCTTTAGCCCAGCAGGTCCTCTCAGCCGTGCCTCTCTCCGAGTCCATTAAACTCATTGCCCTTTTGCTAGAGCTGGTCACATCTTAGAGCTCCTCTTCTGCTGGAAATTCACACCTCAAAAAAGTCCTTTCCTATTTGGCCGGAGACCTTGAATCTCCCATGGACGGGAAAGTCTGAAGTTTGGAACAACCAAAACCAAGGTGGCAGCCCTGACTCTGGGGTCCCTCGATGTGCCCCTGGGGACTTCTGTGGGGTAGGGATGGCCTGGGGGGTCCCCAGCTGCAGAGAGGGGAGCCTAGAAGCCCTAAGGGCCCTGGCTGGACACGGGGCACTCAGGACTCCTCGACTGCCCTTGTACGGAGCTGAGCCCCAGGTATCGCTCAGGGCTCCCAGGTCCATGGCGGAGACCCTGGCGCTGCCCCCAAGTTCCAGATCCTGGAGGCCCTCGTGCCCCACGGCCGCAAACTCTGGACCAGGAAAGGCGGTGGGAAGCCAGGCAGTATTTCTTCAGGGCTTTGCCAAAAGGCTACAGACACACGAACAGTTTGGTTTCAATTAACTGCATCATCTGAAAACGCCCCCTTCCAGAAGAACATTTTCCCACCAGCGTAGGCTCAGGCTGTGGCTTTCCCTGACCGCACAAATGCCTCGGGCCTCCCACCTCGAGCGGGTGGCGTCTGGCTCGCTCTCCACACTTCCCATTTAAATGCAGGTCACTCAATGTGGGAGCAGCAACCTGGGAGCTACTCGGAAGTCCTCCCCGAGCCATGGGGAGGTCCAAAAACACGCCACTTCCCTGTCCGTCTTTGCCATGGCTTGGCCGAAGGTGGTTTCCGTTCTTGTGGAACATTTCCACTTGGGAGCCCAAACGTGCCATGAAGCTGGCTGCCTGCATGTTGGTTTCTGGCTCCTTCACACCATCACTATCACCTTCACCATCACCACGAAAGCTGGCTTCTGGCTCTTCCATACCATCACCATCACCTTTACCTTCACCATCAAAGCTGGCTTCTGGCTCCTCCACACCATCACCATCACCTTCACCATCAAGGCTGTCTTCTGGGTCCTCCACACCATCACCAACACCTTCACCATCACCATCAAAGCTGGCTTCTGGCTCCTCCACACCATCACCTTCACCTTTCACTATCACTATCACAGCTGACTTCTGGCTCCTCCACACCATCACCATCACCTTCACCATCAAGGCTGTCTTCTGGCTCCTCCACACCATCACCATCACCTTCACCATCAAGGCTGTCTTCTGGGTCCTCCACACCATCACCAACACCTTCACCATCACCATCAAAGCTGGCTTCTGGCTCCTCCACACCATCACCTCTCAGTTCTTCAGCAAGACTCTCCCGCTCCGTCTCTCCACGATATCGGTTCTCCCCGGTTCCTCTGTTAGTTGGACAGGGCTCTCCAAAAGTCCCTGCCATACCTCCCTTCTCACCTCTCAAGGGCGAGGTAGTAAGTTTTGGTCACCAACATTTTTGCGTGCCACAAAACATGATCCACCTCATCCGGTGCAGTATGAGGAACTAGAAACCGCTACACTCAAAATGACCTCTTGGTGAAAGCACATCCAGTCAGCCGGGGTGGGACACACATCTCAGAACAGCCGCTCCATCCCCGACATCACGATCTATATCTTCAAGGGATGCTTTTACAATACTTGCAGAAGACAGGCCTGGGAAGAAAAAGTCACAACTTTACTGGACACTAAGCAACCATGGATGTACCAGAGTGGATTTATGGCTCGTTACCATTTACCTACCCCTGCTGCCAACCTGTCTGGGCTCCACAGGAAAGAGCACCCCTCTCCCCTTTCGAACTGCAGACGCTTCCTCAGCCTGACGAAGGGTATTTATACCCGAAAGCTCGCAAAGAAGAATTTTCCCAACAATCTGAGTTGGTCTAATAAAAGATATGAGATTGACCCAAAGAAACTTGTCTGCCTTGATCTTCTAGATCATTTGGTTGATCTACAGCGACCGCTCTCTGCTTGGTCCATAACCACGTCTGAATCTTCTCTGTCCTAAAGGGTTATTGCCCACTTCCATCCTTACAGGACCATTTCTTTCTTACTGGGGTTAACTAGAAGTCACTGTCCTACCAAGCACTTAGCTTGGGCTGTGTCTGCTTCTTCTCCAAGCTGGAGGAAAGGCACTTTGTGATGGAAAGCTGGTCTAATTTTTCTTCCAACTTGTAGCTGGCCCAATACAAGCGGTGACCAAAATCCTGCTTCTTATGTTTCTCACAGCAGAAAAAGCCAATCCGTCTGTTTTAAATCCAGTCGCGCTCAGCCCAAAGCAGTTCTTCCCCAGCAAGTCAGCAGGCACGCACAGCAAAAGAAAACACGGCATGATGGAAACAGATGTTGACTTCCAGCCACCCAGGGGCTCCCGGAACAAAAAGAAATTAAAAATGACAACAAAAACAATTTCCAAATCGTCCTTTTAAACCCTTTGCACCTCCTAGGGGATGTTTTCCCTGCAGATCACGCTGACCCGTATGTGGGCATTGCCTCCTGAACACAAAACTTATGTTTCGTCCCCAGGCCTGCATAAATAAATGACTCCAGCCACACGCGAGAGAAGGATGCTGCCAACCTGGCAGGCACGGATTATGTTGGAAACCAAGTAAAACTATACATACATTGGCACCAGCACATTCAACAGAGAGTAACTTTAGATCCACATGTGCAGATTCAACACTTTTCACATCTCTCTCTCTCAAAAACTCCCTTACCTGAATCCCATGACACTTTGCAAAGAGTTTGGGGGCTACAGGTGGAAGCCAAGCTGTCACCCAGCCTGACAACCTGCCCACCTACTGTGAGGATGCAGCTGAGAGTCCTCCAGTGCCGTCCCACCGTTCCCATGTATACCCCAAGGGAGAGACATGTTCTTCCCTAGTTTACTGCAGGGGAAAAAAATCAGAACTGCTCAAGCGTATCATACCCAGGGGATTTGTCCTCTCAAGTCCTCCGGGCACCGTCACTAAGACACGGCATTGCAGCGTGTTTGCTCACGCCTGGCTAGAATAACTTGGATGTTGATCACCTGAATTGACTCCGCAGGGAAGATGTCGCCCTTGATTGCCAGAGCCACGGATGACAGAATAGGTGACACCCCAGCATTCAAGGTGTGAGAGGGGTGCAATTAGGAGCCCTGCTGTTTCCAGGACTCAGGTTACCAGGCAAGTTGTGCATGGCACAATGAAATGTCAGCTCAAACCCTCCCCCTAACTGGACAGCAGCTCCTTGAAGAGCCCAAGCAGGAATAACTCGTGCCGTTCTCACCTCCACGGACACGTTGCTGCACACTGACAGCTGGGTCGACTAGCACAGGGATTTCCACCTGGCACGGCGCTATGCCCTGTACGGGGAGAGCCATTTAACCAGAACGCAGTCGTGGCTCCAAGCTTGGCCCACCCTGAACTAATGAGGCTGGCGGCTGCATCACTGGATGTAAAAGAGCTGTGGTCAGCATCCCCTCTCTGCAACCACAGCAGCTCAGGCAGCTCGCACTGAACAAGGGAGAAGAGAGAAGCAATTACCACAGATTAAGCAAATTTCCATCAGTGCAGGACGGTGCTTCCCACCAATCATCCTCGTAACCACGTTTCAATCGAACATGTTTCTCCTGTAGCATCAAGCTGGAACAGTAGTAGCAGCTTCACCGAGCGTCAGCGTCTGTATTTATTGCTTCCATTTAATGGCGTGTTCCAGTTTTTTCTTTTTTCTTTTCCTTGCAACGTTTCTGGGTGACTCGAGCCCCACTTTGTAGCTCGAAAACGGAGACACCAAGATTAAAGTCCAGTTCCTCAAAGGTCGAATGCCTTGCACTTGAAAGCTGCTCTCTCTCCCAACTACAGAGATGGGCCAATAAAGGATCCCACCTTAAGAAATCCCAGCTCCTCAAAGGCATTCAGGCACCTAACTGGCAGCTACGTATAAGATCGGTATCACAATGCCTTTGGAGGATCTGCAGCACGGGGCAAAGCTGTGTGGTGTGCTGGATTTCCCACGGGAGTTTGGCAGTGGGGCAGCAGTGCCACTGTGCCCCCACTGCACCCCTGTGAGCTGGAAAATATGATACCATGGGCCGGATCTAGCCCACGGGTCATGGGATGAGCAGCCCTGCATGCTGATCCTGCAGTTAAGCCTCGGACCCCGAGTAAAGTCCGCTGACATAACCAACCTAAGGGTGAGACGCTGCATTCACCTGTCACATTCAGGAGAAGACCTAGGGGAGTGCACCCAGCTGAAGCTGCAACACAAGGGCCCCGAAGAGGAGAGGCTCAGGCAGAGGAGACCTCCACATAAAACCTAGGGGCCTGCAGGCATGAAGGAGTCTTGGCAGTCCAGGAGGAGATGCTCTGCTCCAATGTCATGCCTCCCCTGCACCCTGAGCTGTGTTGGGGGGGCACCGTGCTGCTCTGTGTGACAAACCTTGACCTGTCCCTTGCCACCACTCGGTAAAACCCCAGTGCACTCGTAAACTTTTCCTGCAGACGCAGGCCAAACGGCAGCGTGCTCGGTCATAGCTTGTGTCCCTCAAATCCACCTGCAGCTTCTGCCACAGGCGCGTCCTTCCCTCTCGGAGGCGGCTGTACCGAGGCAGCCATATCCCGTTGAAACCCTGGCGTGCTTTCTGCCCCAGAAGCAGATGCACTTTGGCAGTCGGCTGTGACACTCTGGCGCGAGGGCTGCCAGCCAGTTTCCCTGATGTGTGGGGAACCGAGAGCTGTGGTTACGTGCTGCAGATGCCAACTGTCTACTCCAATCCAGCGCTGCTAAATCGAAGCAAGCAGATTTTCCTCCCTCCAAGCTCAGCCCCAGCATCACTGCAGGGCTTCTATTTTATTTCCTTAGCTGAAATGACCTTCCCTCCTGTAATGCAGAGGCTTGCTCACTACTACAAGCCTTCAATCAGATTTCTAATCCTCCATCCCCAGGGTACAGCTCTGAGTACAAAGCTCCTTGGCACACTGAGCACGTTGAGCGTATTCCCGGCTGCGGTTATTATTGGCTCATTTGCCGTGGCTGTGACTTCAGGGAAGAAAGTCTCCCCCCACCCCGCTTCAGTCAAATCTCATTCCCATTTAGATACCGTCCACTGCAAACACCGATTTAAATGCTCTCCCTTCCCTGAGCTCTCACCTCTCCTAACTTCCAAGAGGAAGGAAAGAGGCAGGAGGCCTAACAGAGGACAAGGTACTGCTTCCCTTGCTGCAGCAGTACGTGTGAAGACAGATCGGCGGATGAAAAGAAGCTGGAGCAATGGAGTTGATGTTCTCAACAGCACCATTTCTCCTACCCCTCGGCAAAATTTACTGGGCAACTCACTATAAGGAAAGGCTGAACAAAATTGGGATCATCCTGAGCAGATTCCTCCTTGGGCTGCTCTGACTTCCAGCACAGAATAAGGGGTTACGGTCTCTTCTTGCTACTCCCGTTATCTTCAAGGAAGATCCATGCGTTGATGGGGGAAGAAAGCAGAGTTTTGTCAGGCAACGGATGCATTTGATTAAAACAAAGCACAGCCCCCAACACGATTTGCTTTGCTACGTTATCATGTTGTTCTCTTTACATCCATGCCAAGATCACTTGTGGCCAGCACAGTGCTGTTGGAAAGCATTAGAGCCACCAGCTCAGTGGATAAATGGGAACTTTGCCACAGACTTTAATAGAAAGCAAGATTTCACCTGCTGCCTGGGCCGAGTTGCATCTTCTGTCCATTTAAAGTTTCTCTGGGTCACAAAATATTTAACCTGTTTCTTATTCTGTTTGCCACAGTTTTTGCTGGAAACAACTGCGGTGAGCTCTTAAGCCACAGCTTCATCCTACCGGCATTTCAGTGGCAGGTGAAGAGCACGGGCAGCAAGTTTGCAATTCCACCCCGTTGCTCCTCATCCATGTCAATTGTTTCGCGCTGGCAGTCAGCACGACAGGCAGCGGGCACAAAACACCTAGTGCCCAGCCGCTGGGAAGTTCGTTTGTACCATCACAGCAAAGAAGAGTTTGAAGGAGGGATCTGAAACAGGACACGGCTTTGTGAACGATCGAGGTGGAGGTCTTCTTATGCACAAAGAGATGGCAGAGGAAGCAGGAATTTTCTACAAACAGGCTTTTACCAAAGGCTGGCTTGGCTGGTCATCCAAGGCACCTGGCAGCGCACAGGCACTTCCAAGGGAAGATGAGACATTTGTGCCTCATACAACGAGGAAGGAGTAGGAAAAGAGAGAAGCAAAGAAAAGGGTCAGAGAGATAAGCCAGGAGGATAACCTTTGCAGTAGCAGGTTGAACAGATGCAAGAAGGGCAAAAGGGGATGCAGGATCACAGGGCTGGAAGGGAACTTAGAGGCCACACAGTCCACTCAGCTGAGAGGAAGAGGAGGTTGTAGCAGCTAGGATGGGAGTTGAGGAAGGCCATTTGGGTCATGCCTACACACAGAACGGCTAGATCAGTTTGTGACACGTTGGGACACTGCCTAGAGGCTGACCACGCTGTGGCTCCTAAGCACTGTCTAAACACACTAAGCCTGTTGGGCCATAATTCTGCTAAGTGGTGCAGTGAGGGTTGAGCATTGAGAAGTTGGGCATAAGAAGCCACCCCTCTGTCTGGCTTTGTTACCCCATGTTCGTTCTATCACACACACTTACGCACTTTGAACCTATTAAAGGACAACTGCGTTAAACTAGTGATTCCCAACCAGGCTGCCGTGGCATCCTAGGGTGCCTTGAGATCCTCCCAAGAGTGCCGCATGGTGCAGCGCAATGTCAGCACCGGTAAGTGTGCAAACACGATTCTCAAGGTAAACCCAGAGATGTCAAAGAGAAATCATGAGTGTTAATTCCTTCTGCCCTGCAGTGGGCTTGCTGAGTTGGTTGCAGCAGCAGAACTGCTCTATTATTTTTTCGTTGTCATACAAAAAGTGAAAGCAAAGAGCTAGTGTTTTCTGGAGGTGAAGAAGGCTGAGCACCATTGCACTAGACAAGAATTTTAACACCTCTGCTCTTCATAAAGGATGCGAAGTCCTTATTTAAATGACTGGAGTTTTGCAGAAGACAGCTGCGTGGCACCTTAGAGACTACCTGGGTTCAGAAAGGTGAGTTTTTGTAGGTGCAAGCTCATGCCTCTCTGAACCTGTTCGTCTCTATGGTGTCACCCTGCCGTACCTTCTGCCTGAATTCGGCCTAGCACAGCTCACTGCCTCTCTCTACTCATGGAGCTTTGTGACTCTGTTCTTGAAGAATTAAATGTCCTTGCCAAAGCTTGAGAGCAAACCCTGCTTTCCTCAGCAGTTCTGTTCTTTGACACTTGGCCAGCTGCTAATTTCTCCCACTGTGCCTCCTGTGTCATGAGAGCCGAGTCTGAAAGAACAGTCTTGTCTGCTCATCAAAAGGATCAGTGGTGTCAGGAGAACAGGCACCACGATCTTTCAAAGAGCTCAGCACCTCACGGGGATGGCACCAGAGCTTGTTCCTCGGCAGGTGGACCACAAGGAGTTTTCCTTCCCGTGATCCAGGCCTCGTCTTCAGTAGCTGATGTTATACAAAGTGTCTGGCCTGAAAGAAGCTGCAGGTTTTATGCTGCAGTAAGCACCAGCCACGATACCACTGTAGCAGGGATAAACGACCCGGCTATCGTGAATCAGTGTGGCAGAAGGTGAAGAGAGGAGCTGATTTCTAACAGTCTTGATTTAAAACGTAGTTGCTGGTTACATCCAAACCTAGACGTCTGTTTGACTGGCAACAGAAAGGGCTGCATGAAAAATGAACCGAGACGCAAAATAACGGCTTGCATTGGGAAGATGGCACTGAGAGGCCTAATAGAGGTGAGAAGTTTTGCTCTTCGCTCTGGGTGGAAATCTGATGCAAACTTTCCAGACAAGTTTCTTCCATGTTTGCAGCTGTGCTTGGTACTAAGAGACTCTCGGGAGTTGGTTCCACGTTTTGTTTTTTTTTTATTATTCAACATTTTTATACATAATAAATACAAACTTTTTACAGCCAATATAAAGAAAGCATTTGCACCTAATGCTTTCAGTGTACTGACACTGTACATGATGATACGTTGAATACATGCCCTGTATGAAGAAATCATAGTTAAAAAGGAGGCATATTTTTACAACTTTTCTTTCTTTTTTTTTTTTTTAAATAAAATTAGCAGCTCTTACAGAAAATATTTTAAAGTACAACCAAAGAGATTTTAAATAACACTTTCTGAATTTTGAAAGTCTGTTATGAAGGACAGAGAAAAACTGGCCAAAGAAATTGAACTTGAACATCGTTTATGGCAATACTTGAATTTCTTCTGCATTGTGAAGCTTTTTTTTTGCCTTTTTTTTTTGCAAATAGCTAAATCTTTTTAAAAACTTTTTTTTTTTTTTTAAACTTAAGAATAAGTTTGATAAACACATAAAAAGACCTCAAACAGATCAACAGGACAAGAGGTGCAAAAGAATGAAAACACACGGAAAAGGATCTTCAATGGACAGCCATTGATTTAGCAACTGGCTGATGAACTTTTTCTTCCAACAGCCTCACTCTTGGTTAAAAATCCCACTGGGAGGAGAGACATTGGCAAGTACTAACATTTCAGAGCCCCAGGTGGGGTTGGGATTTACAAGGATGTGCGAAGTTTATGATAACATCTTGTACAATGATTTTGTAAATGCAGCCTCAAAAAAAATAGCCCTTGTTAGTTAACTAAATGTAGAAACTTACTTTACCAACATAGGAGAAAATGAACACACAAGAGCGCATTCAATATAACCCATATAACAGCTCTTAAATAAGTTGTAGATGTCTTTTCACCGAAGCTTTGATTGATAAGTATTGCTATTTTCAGAACGATTTAGTGATCGTATTTATAGAAACAAATGTTTTCATCTGGAAGGAAGGGTGTCTCCACTCTTCTTACCATTGCAATTCACGCTAGAACGCAACACACCCTGATTTCTCTGAAATGTCAACAGTTCCTTTCTCAGAGAAAGCCAGTCTGAAATTAGTCTTGACGTCCTCAAACTCTTTCTTGCACAAAAATCATTTGAGAGCGCAATTCCCTCTCTTACTTTCAGCCCTAAAGGCGGTCTGAAGGACTGGCCTATGCCAGGGATGTCCTGGTTCTCTGATTTTGGCTAGTTAATGGGCTTTGCAGGGAGAAATGCTATAGGACTATCCAATGCGGAAACTAAATAATGCATGTAAATATTCTAAATGTAACTTCTAACTCTAGCCAGATGTTTTGATGGCAAAGATATACTGCTAACGTCGGATAATAAAGTACACGGCAATAACCGGGATAAAAGTGATCCCAAAATGAAAAAAAAAAAACATCTGCTAAGAAAAAGAAATGAAACTCAAATTTCCAGATCTAGACAAAAATCTCACTTACTTCTCTACCAGTTGATTTATGCTATGGAAACAAGATGTTGCTACTAATTCAGCACCTCCATATTAGATACTCTATTACTAAATGAACTGCATAAATATTAATACAAAGAGCATTTAGTTCTGTTTAACAGTTAATTATTGAAGAGGTGTGCATTCATGTCATGTGGTCTCCAGCACTTTTTTCTTATCTATAAGATTATTTTCCTTTTTTTTTTTCTTCATCAAGGGGACTGAAGAGGAGCCAGCCTCTCTTTAAACTTATCCTTTTGTTCCCTTTTTTGTAATTCCATGAGATCTGATTAATATCTAATCAGACAAGTACTGCTACTTGAAGAATTGACAATCTTTAACACATTCCTATGGCAACAGTAATATACTGTACTAATGCACATGATATAAGTATGCTATGACTAAGTTGCATGAATGAGGCTCTCTCTGAAGCCACCATATAAAAATTGACCATCTTCAGCCAAAAGAGAAACCTGCTCCAAGGCATCTCCTCTGCTTGCCGTTTGGCCCATCTTGGTTTGTGCTAAGGGAGGAAGAATGATGTATATAAAACAAAAAAGGCACAAAATATTCATGATGGTGGGAAGAAATCCAGCATGTCACTGTCACAAGAAATCCTCCCTATTCCTTGCTCTATTAAAAGTCTTCATCATGCAAAGGTGCCTAAAAACGAGGTTGACCAAACACCACATTTGGCCTTGATTGTAGCACTACTACTTAGCTAGTCCCATCGTTACACCAGAGTAATTTCCACGTCCTCGATCTTCTCTGTTGTCCTGCGATGATGCTGTGTAGGGGGAGGAGGAGCTGCTCGCACCTGAAACAGTCAGAACACGTGTGACTCTCAGAAAGATGCTGGGACATTTCATGGCTATTTATATAGTCATGAAAACTATATAAATACTGATGTAAAGGACCAGAACCTCTAGCTCCAGGTGGAATCAATCAATCAATCAATCAATCAATCAATCAATCAATGCCTACAATAACCCTGCTGAAAGGCAGTGATCAGGCCTGTGATTCTGGTACCCGAAGGTATTTGCTCTGCTCACTGTTTGGCCCATCTTGGTTTGTGCTAAGGGAGGAAGACGCCCAAATGGTGAGAACGGAGCTTGTGTGGGCTGCCCCCTGCCTGCAATGAGCAATACATATGAAATCAGTTAGGGGTTATGATTTTGAACGTTTTGTTTCATGAACTTTGTTCTTATAAGCAGAAATTTTTAAAAAGGGGGGGGGGGAATCTTTTCATGGGTTTTTTGGCAGGTTTTTGACCTATCAAACCCAAAGATGTTATAACTGCATCTCTGAACTCCAACGACCTACCTATACATGCATCTGATGCTCTTTTGACCTTCTAATGCTGGGGCAGGCAAAGTCCGGTGCATGGGCTGGATTGGATCCACAGCAGACTCCATTTCCCAGCAGCCAGTGTCACTGCAGCCGGTTTCCACGGAGACCACAGCAGCGTCAGGGTCATGACAGCATGGGGCGAGAGTTTCCATGGAGACCAGCCCCAGCAGCACTGGCAGGATGTGTGACTGGGCAGGGAGCTGCTCATCTTGCCGTGGTGACAGTGTGGTCTGGAGCCAGGGCAGAGCTGTGATCCACTGCCTGCATGCCCCAGGCAGGGACGTGCAAGCAGCAGATCGTGGCTCTGCCCCGGCTCCGGACCACGCTGTCACCGCGGCAAGATCTCAGCCCTGGCCGCAGAGCGGCTCCCCACCCAGCCACGTGCCTGGCCAGTGCTGCTGGGGCTAGTGTCCATGGAAACTCTGGCCCTGCGCTGTCATGGCATCACTGCTGCTGGGGTCTCCATGAAAACGGGCTGCAGCAACACGAGCAGGGGCTGTTGGGAAACGGAGTTTGACTGCTGGCCAGATCCTCCATTTTGCCCACCCCTGCTCTAATGTTAACTCGATTAGCTGCATCCTGCTCTAACAACTTACAACTTATTGTAGCGCTTCCCAGAGCCTCATGTTAAGGTTTAATAGCATCTTGTGAAGAATTCTTCTTATTCTCAAAATGTGCCATAACAGCTCACATGGCGCTGCTACAAATTGGATGTTGCAATCAGCAATGTTATACCAAGATTCAAATTCTATTTAAAGCAAGCATATTTAAAATGTAACACTGTCGTGAAACATCTGTTTGCTGAGGCATAACAAGCATTGCAAAGACACATTAAAAAACCAGCAAGAATGCCATTAAACATAACTGTATCCCACCTATCGCAGCAGTTTTCAACCTGTGGTCTGCAGACCCCTGAGGGTCCACAGACGATGTCTAAAGGGTCCACGAAAGATGCCTCTGATTAGGGCCTGGCTTAAATCACAGGCCCAGCTTGCAGCGCGGTGGCTCCTTTAGTCTTGAAGATCCCCCCGCATGCCCCCCAGCTGCTGCTGATTGGTGGAACAGCCCCTTTGGCCCCACTGCTTACTCCTGATGGCCAGAAGGGGCAAACCACAGTTTTAAATATGCTGCACAGTGGGAGACAAAAACTTGGGCATATTTAAAACGAGAGTTTACCCCTCTTGGCCAACAGGAACAAGCAGCGAGTGGGAGGACTGAAGGGGCCCCACTGCCAATCAATAATGGAGGGAAGAGGACATAATTGGAGGCGGGGAGAGCTTCAAGATTAAAGGAGCTGCTGTGCTGTGAGCTGGGCTTGCAATTTAAACCAGGCCCTATTTCTGATCAATTAAAACGATGCGAATACCCTCACTTACAATTTAAAGGGGTCTGGCACATCCATTCAACATTTTTAAGGGTCTGCAAATGAAACAAGGTTGAAAACCACTGACCTACTGTGTTAAAACTACCCAAAGAATAGGAAGGGTAAGATTTAGGAGACCAGGATGTGAAACTTAGAGAAAGAGCTCCTCCGATGAGCACTCATTGATGACATGAAATTCTTTTTCGGCTCCGTGTGGCTCCAGTGAACAGTGCAACGAATCAGGCTTTTGCACCCAAACAATGGGAACTGTGGGCATTTGTTAACAATAAGGACATAGACACTTTAGTTATACAATTCTGACTTAAACTTTGGACAAGAAACCATCATTTTATGTGCTGAAAGACTAGAGATGGATCTCAAGAGACATTACTGTCAGCAAAATCACTGTGCATCAAAAATAATGCTTAGAAAATACAACTACTGGAATGTAACATGTGGTTTGATTTATAACTTTAAAATCCCTACGCTGTTGATTTCAAACAATCTCGGCAGATGGGTTTTTAATTTTTCAGTTAACTAGTTCCCTCCTCCCTTGTTTGGCAAAGACTCTTTTTATATGGCACAGACATCACAAAATGTATTGGATCATAACCTTAGGAGCTCTCCAAACTAAGACCCACAGGGTTTATAAATCATAAAACTGTAGAAAATGAGGGTTGGAAAAGACCTCGGGAGGTCACATCTAGTCCAAACCCCTGCTCAAAGCAGGACCAGCCCCAGCTACATCATCCCAGCCAAGGCTCCGTCTAGATGAGTCTTAAAAACCTCCAAGGATGGGGAGTCCATAACCTCTCTGGATAACCTGTTCCACTGCTTCACTACCCTCCCAGTGAGAAATGTTTTCCTAATATCCGACCTAAACTTCCCTTGATGCAACCTGAGCTCAATTAACTTGAGTTTAAATGAACTTAACCCCAACACAAAGAAACCAACAGGCTTGTGTGTCCAGACAGATTGTTGGCAAGTGGACTTGCCTTTCAACACCCAGCAGTCTCGGGTGTTGGGTTTGGATGTGGGTGTTTGGCAACAAAATCTTTGAAAAACATTAGTGCAAATTCCATGATCCAGCTGTTTTGGCATCTATGTTTTTCTTTGATTCCTATTTCTCTATATTTGTAAGGCATGCATACATGGACAACAGTATTGCTTGTAAAGAGCATAAGATATATACAATATAAACAATCCTCCAAAGATGTAAGAAGATTACATCTTGCCCTGCAAGATCTAAACATCTCCTTTGCTAATGGTATAAGTATATGTAAGGCAGAGAGGGAATTATGGGGATCCAAGGATGCCTTTAAACGTATGTCATAATGCATTGCTCATATAGGTGCAGCTTTATTTTATTAATCTGCTTCATTATCTAATTGGTTCCCATCCATGTCTGTTGCTTTTTGATGCATCTGTTTTACAGTCCCCAATCTGAGAACCAGCCTTCCTTATTGGGGTTTTTTTTTTGTGATAATCAAAACCCAAAATATAATCATTGCATTAATAGTATTTGTGGAACATGGTAGGTAAAATTCTGAGCGGGTGCATCAACAAAGTAAATCCCACTGCTTTCACTCAAGTTATGACAACTGATCCCAGCTGAGGATCTGGACAGGTTTCTATATTATCACATCATTAAGCACAGTAACACTTGTGACTTACAGGTCGCAGTTTGCCATAGGAAGTTTCCGGAGTAAGCCGTGGAGGCTGCGAAAATCCAGGAGACTCCGAACTGAAACTGTTTTCTGAAAGAGTGAACAATAAAAAACAAACCATTGCGGTGTTACTGAACTAGTCAACCCCCCCTTAAAACACATGCTTCCGCTGCAAGTGGAATTTTTTATTTCAAACGAACATTTGGATGTTGTGTTTCTTGAATTAGTAGAAAAATCTCTTACCATTAGTTGATGGTGATCTGGGAAAGCTCTGGGAGCCTCTTTTATCTGGACTATGGTAAGGGCTCGTGGGTGGCTGGTCATAGAGAGGCAATGGTGGAAGGGAATTGTGAGGTTTTGGAGATGGAGACACCTGTATTCAAAAAGAGGAGAGGCTTTTTATTTGTTTTAAGCCAATGTTATGAGCACACAGACATGTACTTGTATCCCAATTGTTTTCATCCAGTAAGAAATCGTGTTTGTCAAACAAAAATGCTTGTCAGCTGTATTTGGAAAGGAAAGCCGAGATATGAAATAGTGATTTAAAAAAAAAAAAAAAAAAAAAAAAAATCACAGGATGCCACAGAGCAGATTTTTTTCCCCTTGCTTTTCCAGGGGTAATCTAGACAGATTGTCTGAAGATTGTTCTAAAAAATGTATCAAATGGGGGAGCACATTTCTCTGAATATACCTACACAAAATTGAACACGAAGATCATGAGTTTTATTACTGTTTGAGAGTGTGTCATTTAAATGCAGAGAGAAACAAAAAGGAAGAATAACGAAATTCAGGCACATAGCTGCAATAAGGTAACAGTATGAAGCTGAAACTGGTATTAATATGTATATAGCATCACATGGGGATGTGATGCTTTACAAAAGAAAGATACACATTTGGTCAGAAGGTATTAACATCAGTGTCCTTTTAATTTGGGCCAAACTATAAAGTGCTTGCATAAAAACAGCAACTCCTACTGATTTCAACACAGCCTGTACTTTGACATTTTTATATCTGATAGTGATAAGCCATGAGGACATGTGAGCTGTATTACTAGTAATGTGATTGAACTTATTTCCCATGTTGGTTGGTATGGGCATTTCTCAAGAGCAACAATAAAACAAAACTACACAAATCACTATGCAGTGAAGGCAGTGAATTCTGATTTCTAGCAACAGTCGTAAGCAAGAAAGTGTTTAATTTTTCATGATGGTATCAACTGGTTAAATAAAATATCGTCTTTGAAATGCCATGATCTTAAAATATGTATTAGAGATGAAATTCTAGTTAATATCCTGCAGCTAAATTGTCTTGCCCTCTAAAAACCTGTGAAGGTATTGCACAGTCTTAGATGTGAAAGTATTAAATAGACCTGTAAGAGCCAATAATGCTGTTTTTGCCAGATCCTGTTTGATCTCTCAATGCTGCAAATTAATTGCAGGAAGGAGACTGGGAATTTCCTCCTGTGGCTCATTTCCCTTCCTCCCTGACCACTCCTTTGTTCTTTGCACAAATCTGTGACATTTGCCAACATGCATCATTTGATAAATATTATGTGGGCTTAGAAAATAAAGGTAAATGTTCACTTTTACGTTATGAGAGCAGGGGCAGTGTAAGCCTGAATATCTGTTTTCCATACTCTGCACCCCACACCCCCATAGCAGCCACTGTCCATATCACACAACGCATTTGGAGACTATCAAAGCTCATCACTAACAGGCTACAAGGGGCTGCTGTAGAGAAAGCCCTTGACCATATGCAGGGCATTGTGGAACACCAGAAAGCCACACCAGTGCTTAACCCACAACCAATTTACTCTTAACATACCTGAAGATCTCCAATCCACTGAGTCTCCCCATTTTCTGAGGCTGTCAGTTCTTCCACTAACACAGAAGGGAAAACCCCAACACGCCCATTGAATTCACCCTCCCAGAAACCATCATCGTCCTGGTTCTCCTTGTTTAGGATACGGATGATTGCTCCTTCTGGGAAGGACAGCTCGTCATCTGTCTGGCCCTCATAATCATAAAGTGCTTTCACAAAACAGACTATAGATGGGAGACAGAAAAAAAACCAAATTAGAACGAGCGTTTCCTCTGTGTACAGCACGGCATCTTTGCTACACTGGACACGATTTTCATTTTTCTTTTGCTGGCTTAATGTTGGGAATCGCAGCTGGTCCTGGACAAATTAAGGAGATCCTAAATATGAGAATGGTGATTGATAGGAATGGCTGCCTTCAGGCAAGGAAAGAGAGTTCCTGCCTTAACATCACTGTTAGGAAGAAGAAATCTGGGTGGACAATGCTCATCACAACATTTTCATGAATAAAATCGATCGGCCAGCGCTCTCTATTGACACTCACCACTGGAATCTCCATTTAAGCTGCCTGAGATTAGCTCGGCTTCAGTTGAATTGTTGGAGGTGTGTGACCGACTATCCAGTGCTGCCAGAGACTGCAGCATGCTCAACAGGCTGTTGGATGTTGGGAACTGCAGATACTTCTCTGGCACATAACCCACTTGGCCGGCTTTGTTTCGTGCCTGTAAGCAAATGGGATGGAAAGGACTTAGTTTCTGCACACTGCAGTAAGACCATGATGAGAAGTGCTGATCCCCCCCTTGCTTTCAAAATGATATAATGAGATGAAAATGAGCGAAGAAAACAATACCTTTACCCAGTCTTCCATATCTCCGTCTTCAATCACTTCCAATACCTCATGTTCCTCAATGGTCAGTTCGTCAGGCTGAGAAGCCTAGAACAAAAGGAAGGTCACGTACAAAGTAAGGAATGGCATGACACACACCAGGCAGAGAAACGCACACAAGGGATAATTTTTAGAAATTAATGAATAATAAATGCAAAATGTTTTAATGCAGAATACTTTAAAAATGCCTCTGGGAACAGTAAAGGTTTTTTGGCTCATAGGCAGATAGTTTTAAGGGACCTTTCCAGCCAAGGAGGGCGGGCTGGTTCAAAAGAAACATCCCCCAATATGTGCAAGCCCATTTAGTTCTGTGATTCTTATTATGCTAAGGCCAAATTGACACTACTGATTTCTGCTGGCGCGGCTATTTCAGTGAAGCATGCGAGGAGGTGTGATCTCTGCCAGACACAGCACTGCTATCAGAAGTCAACACAGCCATGTTTTCACCAGTATAACTTTGTCTTGCCCAAAAATAGTGACTTTGCTAGTACAGTGCACCAGTATTCCTATACCAGTAAAGTACTCCTAGCATACACAGAGCCTAAAAACGGATGCATAGGTACGAAATACATACAAAATGTACCAGACAGATGCAGCAAGGTACTTAAAACACATGCCTGACTCTTAACATAGGGAGCAACTCCCACTAACTTCAGTGGGACACTTGTCTCTTTATATTAGCATGCGTTTTAAGTACCTTGTTGAACTGAAGCCGAATGTGCTTAACAAATTTATTGCAGACAAGGTTCTTCGGGTAAAATCTGACATCTTTTATTAGACCAACTCAAATAGTTGGAAAAATTCTTCTTTGCAAGCTTCTGGGTATAAGTACCCTTCCTCAGCCTGACGAAGGGTAGTTATACCTGAAAGCTTGCAAAGAAGAAATTTTCCAACTATTTGAGTTGGTCTAATAAAAGATGTCAGATTTTACTTGTCTGCCTTTGTCCTTAGACCAACACTGCTACAACCAACACCCCTGTAACAAATTTATTTACACCTGCTAACAGTTTGTTAACTTTATTAAGATTATGCTGTAACAGGTTGCCTATTTAATATCAGACACATTAAACAGGTTTCATAATTACATTTACTTACTCAAGCAAACTTCCCCCAGACATTTAGTATCATAAACATTTGTTTCGTTTGCCTCACAGCTTTCCCATGGATAAGAGACTGAGATTTAAAAAAAAAAAAATACAAACCTTATAGGAATAAACGACTTTGCAGGTCAGTGGATAATTTCTTAGAGTACCAGAAGGACTGGAACTGCTATCGTCAAACACATCCATGCTGTCTTCAAATTCTTCACCTTCTTCCTTTTCTGTATCAGCGTTGAGCTGTTACAAGATATGAAAATAATTGAGTATACTGGATGGTAGAAACAAGAGGGAAGAAAACAAACAGCAAAACGAATAATCCAGCTTTAGTAACTTTCTAGCCTCCTAGTCTGCTCAGGACTGAGCAAAGCTACAATTTAAGTTTCTTTCTTTAGCAAACACCAAAGGAAGGACGGCACCACTAAAAATCAATACATTTGTTCTCAAAATGACCTCAGGAAAGTAGTCACCCACACGAGCAAATATCCGGAAGCGAAAAAATGCAAGTTATCAACTTACATTTTTGTCAGACTGAAGAGCAGCCGCGTGTATTATAAGCATTCGTTCAACCTTCACAGTAAGAGTACTGTTGGACACCGGGACTGATGATGAGTTTGGAAAAGATTACATTTATATGGGGCAAGTCCAAAGTACAGTCACCACCCTTCAGAGTTACAAAATGTACTTTGATGGCAAAAACATGCACTGAGTGTTGCACCTATGACCATAAGGTACAAACTGAAAGGGACAGAAAAATAAAGTACTAAACCTTAAATCAAAAAACCAACTTTCCTTCCAATGCTTTCCTCACAAAGTACTCCCTTCAGTTTTTTTAGTACAGTTTACGTGAGAGGTTCCTAAGGGAAGGATAATAATTAAAAAGTGTTTATAAAAAGCAAAAATAAAAGCCAAGTGGACAGGCTGGAAAAATACAAGTTTCTATAAATGCAGTTAGTGTGAGCCCTAGACTTTGGCTTTGTGCCTGGATTCAGTCTCGGATAAACATTCGATCTCATGTGAAAAAGACGCCGGCCTTCAAAATCAAGGGCAACGCTGCTAGAAAAGCTGCCGCCTTCCCTTTATTTATGCAGTTTAATTTGGAGCTGGATTTTGTGCTCCTCCTGAACGCGAGGCGGCTCGCAACACAGCAAAGAAGCCTGGAGTGGGACAGACAGGTACTGCGACGGCTTCCCCAAACTCCATTGCCAAATCAAGCTCAATCCTCATCTGTGACATCCCTGTTCTTCCAGCTCCTGTGGCCATCTCCAGGACAAGGACGTACAGGCTGGTGATTGTATGATGTTACCGACATTTATGGCCTCCGTTCAGAACAAACAGCTCAATTTTACTTTTCACCTGAGTCGTATATTTGAAGCCAGGTCACTGGAATAAATGGCAAGTTCACTGCAATTCACTGTAGTGCATAGGCCCAGACCTGACTTTGGCTGGGATGATGTAGTTGGGGCTGGTCCTGCTTTGAGTAGGGGGCTGGACTCAATGTGACCTCCTGAGGTCCCTTCCACCCTTCATTTGCTATGATTAAAGCTTCCTAATTCATTTCCACTGAAATCCACTTTGCATCCATTTCACCTGTAATACTAAGAGACTGCTGTAACGCATAGTATTTATTATCCTATCTAGCTAACATATCGGCTCTTAATTTGGCACTCGGCAGATTAAATAAAGCCACAATCTTTACAGCTCCTAAAAATGTTGCAGCCACTACTAAACCTGCAGCTGACAGCCATATGAAGCATCATGGAATTAGCACATCAGGTCTAGAAATACTTGTTCATAAAACATCTGGTCCTGGTTTTCTAAGGGAAAAAAAGCCATTTTAATCCACAGTGTGTGGGCTGCTTAAAATTCCTCCAAGAAAATCCATCTGCGGACACGTAACACAAAGAGGAGGAAGCACTATTAAAGACACAGAACACCTACGCTTGTTTAACTTTCTACACACAACTTGCCAATGAGTGTCTGCATAAATCCACAACAAAGCCATTGGCACCTGCGATACTGAAGGTATGCAAAAATGAACCAAAGGCAGGAATAAACTCAGGTATACTGGAATAATATATTGATAGTGCATCAGAATAATTAATGAATTATATTTAGAAAGGAAACAGGAGATCTATACAGACTTTGTGTAGATCTCTACCAATATGCCAATATATAGTTTATTTGTAGATCTATCTGCACAGGTGTAATGCGGGGGGCTAAATTGCCATCTAGAAGTTCTCTATTCTTGGAATGGGTGGAGGACCACCAACAGCAGAAAAAACCTCCTTATATTTGCACCTCAACTTTGACTCGGACAAACCCCTTTTCAAGTAGAAAGTAGCAGAGAAGTCTATCCGTTCCCTCCCCAAAACCTCTACAGACACTGCAAACTAAGGCTGCTGACAGGTAACAGTCTGGGTTGAACTGGAAACAGTGACCTGAAAGGTAAATGGTTTTATAGCCCACTAAACCCAGGCCATCCAGCTCCCCGTTCACAGTAAATCCAACACCTGGGAAGTATACTTTTGTGGGTATATCTTTTTTATGACTCTACAGCTGAGTAGAGGTTAAATCATATGTGAATACAAACATGGGAATTATTCTCTCCCCCTTTCACAGAATAAATAGACTGCATCCTATTTAGCATGTATCTATTGTCTTCATTGAAGAACAGAGTTCCCAGTTATACTAATATGTAACAGTAGTACTAAACATGTTTTCCAGATGGCACTAAATTACAAAATTATGACTAAAGCTTTTGTTGGCACCTACAGTGGAATAAATCATTTAGTATTCTCTCCTAAAATTGGGCATTTCGGCATTATACCAGAAAGGCAGCCAACTGGCTACGTGACGGGACATGGGTTCCTTGGGCTTGTTACACGATTGTGGTTTTTTAGCAGGTTAAATAAATGTTGAAATAGCAAGATTTCATCTACGCTGGTGTGTTACTTCCAACTCATTAAAAGAAAATCTATCGCGAGCTGTGTTGGGCAAACAATCCCATAACAAAATAAGACGCACGCAACCCTGGCTTTGTTCTGCTGTGTGTGGCAAATACAAAGGTAGAAAGGCTGATCCTTTAACATTGAAAACTGCCTGCTTCTTAGCGAGTGAAGTGAAAGTGCATCTAATACAAAAAGCACAGCAATAAGTCCCTTTTATAATGGCAAGCAAAATAATAGCTGAAACAGCTTTAAGAAATACCATCTTAGGGCTGTCCCCATCCTGCTGCCAAGGTCAATATGATCTTTTATATACAAGGGCGTGTGCATGTGTAAAGGGGAAAAATGGAAATTAGATTTCAGCCTCCCACGCTCCAGCATCTGCCAGCCTGCCAGGCACTGGCACTGGCACTGGCTTCAGATGTGGAGCCAACCGTTTGTGTGTCTGATTGGACCGAGGAAGGGCACCGGGAAGAATCCAGCCTGCGCAACAGGAAGCGAAGGGAGGTGGGGCGGAGTGAGAAGAAAAAGAAAAAACACACAGTTAAACATAGCAATGTAGCATGCACTCAGCTTTTATAGCTAGAAGGGGCCTGAAATGAAACCGAGTAAGAACCCCCCCTGAGCTTTGGGATGTCTGAAGGGCTGGATTTGAATTCTGTGACTCGAGTCTCTCTCTCTCTCATTATAACACCATCCCTGGGAAAAGCCTCCAGAGACCGAGTAATGAGAATAGGGATTGGAACAACCTGCAATATAAATAATTGTTAATGTAGTTTGGAGTCGGCGTCCAATTCTCTTCTACCTGGCACAGGATGAACCCTGGAAGCATCCGCTGAATTTTTACTTGAACAGAATCTCGGCTGACACCGACACAAAAATTCAGAGTCTCTAACGAGAGACTTTCTTCTGCAAGGGTTTGCCAGAAGAACACCTGATCATGAAAAGGGTAATGGCCAACACCTGATCATGAAAAGGGTAATGGCCAACATACTAAAGGATCAGAGAAAAAAGTGGGAATATGAGTCATGTGTATGCAAATGCTGCAACCTGGCTGAACAGCCCTTTCTCTTTCTTGTTGGCAGTTAAGGAAAGCTATGCTCAAAGCCATGGGGCCGTCTCCTTGCAAAACCAACCACAAAAAGCAAAACCTCAATCCAGTTATACTTCAGAGGTCAATGGAGGTAAAAGTAGCTGTCAACAACAGTAACAGAGAGTGTGAATTAAGCAGAAGCTTGTAATGGAATGAGTCTACTGGAATTAAAAAGAAAAACACACCCACTGGTTGTGACGTCGGCAGCCTTTGAAGGTTAAGTGTTCTGCCATATGCTAAGGAGATGCCTACGATCTAACACCCTGTTTGAGGCAAAGTGACTACACTTTCAGGAATTTTATTTTTGTCTATTGCTGGTGAAGGCTAACTGCATTGCCAAGGGTGACAGCTTGGCAAAAATAAGATTAAGAGCTCTCTCTCAGTTCTTTCTGTTTTCCAAACAGGATTTCTTGGTTTAGGCAATTATTTATCAGAATTTATTTTGAGATGCATTCTTTAGGAGGGAAGGAAAATCTATTGGCTTAAATTTTTTCATTCCCACATCTTGATTTAGATAAAAAAAAATTGGATCCTCTGAAGCTCAACGTTTGTGGGAATAAGCTTCCGGCCCCAAGCGGTGTGGGAGATCTCTCTGACCTTCTTGTCTGTTCTGCAAAGATCTGCAGACATTACAAGAACAATGAGTGTCATTTCTAGCTGATAAGAACTAATCACCACACTTTTACATTACATTCGTATCACCTGGAGCTAAACTTTAAGCATGCTGGGTAGCATTTTCAAAAGCATCTAAGAGACTTGGGAATCAAGATCCTATTTTTAAAAGAGATTTAGGGCACAGACAAATGAACAATTTACTGCAGGACTAAAATGGGGGTGAGAGGGGGTTACCATAGGGCAGCTCCTCTGTGTTAACTGCCTACATCTATGTTCTTACTCTGTAGTAAATGAAAGCTTGCCCATGTTAGCTCAACCTGCAGTGAAAGAGGAGTAAATTACTATGGTCTCATTTTCATTTATTCCACAGAAAGGATATGTACATCCCATGGGGCAGCTGATGCATGTATAAGCCCCAGAACCTTTTGTGCTGCAGTAAATTGTCCATCCATTCATACTCTTAGGGCATGTCTACACGTGCTTTTATGCGTGCCTACATTTAATGTGCATTTGCCTAATGCACATTAAGGTGATTTAGGCACACATCTACATGTGCATGCACTAAGGCACATTAATGCGATGTGAGGACCAGCTCGGGACTAAAGTTAGTCTCGAGTTAGTCGACACACATTGCATTAATGTGCCTTAGCATGTCTACACGTGCATTAAGGCACTTTAGCTATTCATGTCTTTTGCGGGTATCAAATTTAGGTGCAAATAACCTAAAATAGCTGTTTTTAAGGCACATTAAGGGCATGCACGTATAGACCTGTGCTCTTAATGTGCCTTAAAAATGGCTAGTGCGCCTCAAATCGGCACATGTAGATGCACACTTAACCACTCAGAGCTTATGTCCTGCTCATTTTCAGAAGGACAAACTCCTAAGTGGGTGTCTAAATCATTTTTGAAAATGTGCCTTAGTAGCCAAAGACAGTCAGATGCTTTGAAAATTTTAACTATACCTTTCATCCAATCACTACAGAAAGCCATATAAACCTTTAATCAAACTTCCGCATGCACGAGGTAGGTAGAGATGAGGACATAAAAAGAGATTTGCCCAAAGTCACAAAAGAAATCTGAGGCAGAACCAGACATACAGCCTAGAAATCCTATTTTCTAGTCCCTTCTAGACTTTAGGCAACACACTCCCCTTCCTGTACTAGCTCAGAATAAACTATCAGAAATTAGATTCACTTGAGCCACACACAGCTCTCTCTCTGTCTTAATGTTAGCTGACCAATCACTAGGTTTTTTTAATGCTTGCCCCCAGTATTAAATGTGATCTATGTACTATAGCGTAGGAGCCATACTAGTGAAGGTTCAAAGGAAAACAAGTTTACACACTGGAAACAGTACCAAGTGCGAAGAGCCATTGTTGGTCATGGCAGGAAGGCTTGCCCAGCGTTCGTTTTCCAGTTCTTCCATCACTTGGTTCATTGCACTCTTTAGCCACGTATCCACAGACACCCCTATCTGCTTTAGCAGATCAAGACGAGCCTCTGCTTTCAGTTTAATTATCTGAGGAGATAAACATGGAAAACGTTAATCAAAATTCTTTCACGCCTACGTCTCACTCTTCCTCTCAATTAAAATGCATTTTCTTCCTGATCCATAAATTAGACTCTACCTAGGTGGCTTAGAAAGCAGTTTCATGTAGAAAGCAAGTCCAATTCTTCATCTGACTGCCTGCAGAGCTGTACAATGAGCCAAGAGGCAGGAAATAGTTTCCTAGAGGTTGAAAATACCAGCATATCCAGATTTTGCAAACTGGGCTCTTCAATCTCACGTCTCTTCATTTATAAAAACCTCCTTTATTGGGTGTGAACAGAGATTGCATTTCTCTGTGAGAAACCCTTTTGTTCCGGGATCCTACGGAGGTACGGGTCTGTTGTCCCACTTGAAGTACCCATGAAATACGTGAGATCAAATGTGCTAACACGTTTTCTAAGGGCAATGCTTGTACTTCTGTAGGTTAATCGCAGCTCATTCAACTTAATTGCCAGTCATTCCAGGGACAACCCTGCCAGGCTGTGCGCTCTCCCGGGCCACTGAGCAGCAATGCAGCTTGGAAGGGCTGTGTGTGTAAAGGGCTGTGTCAGCTCTCCTCTTTTGTCCCAGGTTTTGACTCGCATCCACCAGGACTGCCTCAAAGAAGACAGCCGTTTACAGCCATTTGCACAGTATCCAGGACAGTTATGATAAGTTATCTTCCGGGGGACATTTGTCATCATAAAAAAAAAAAATACATCCTATACTTAACCATGACTGCCCCTAGACTGTGGATCCTGGAGGTCCTGGCAACTGCTTTCCTAACCTGACATTTGTGTTATTTTCACAAGTGCTGTTCCGCGGTGGACAGACAAATCATGCCAGCTCACCATGGTTTGCTATTTCCAAAGTGAAACGTGCAGGACTGCAATTCCTCGATATTTTTCAAATCTTTGGCTTCAACGCAGAATGGCCACTGGATTTACCAGCCAGCTCTATCCGTCGCTACTTTCAAGTGCTTTGTTACTTGCCTACAGGTGCTTTGGAAGCTCCATTGAGATCAAGGAACTACTGTGGTTGATCCTACCTGTGTTTTACAGTCGAGGAAACCAAGCGACAATGATAAAGTGGTTTACTAAAGGCAACACAGAGAGTCACTGACAGAGGCGCGAACAGAAACTAACTGAACTGCTTTGTAGTTTTCCGGGTACTTCCTTTCACAGCATTGTTAATTCTTAGCGTGTTGCCTCTGAAGTAACTTCTCTCCTTTCTCTTGCCAGTCCTTCCCCTTTGAGGCATTGTACTGTGACATAACTGAACGGATTAGGAGGTGAAAGCTTGGCACGGGGAAACTTTCTATTTCAGATAATATATTGGTAAATCACCAGCAACAATGTGAAAGGAAGTGGCGAGCAAGATTTGGCAAAACAAACTGGTCTAGCAACTTGTCTCAACTGTCTCTCTTAAAAAAGCTCCCAGTAATGAACCACTTCCTTGTGCTGAATATTTAGTGGTTCCCAATTTGAAATGCAAATTATACACTTTGATAAACAGTCACCTAGTTTTACTGCAGATTCCCTAGAATAATTCTATCAGCTCAGCTAAAACACTGCAGTGCAAGCCCGAGAGCAAAGCTCCTAAGTGACTCAATATATAATTCTTCCTCTTATACATGGGAATAAACCGTGGAGGCGGAAGGGGAGAGGGGGCTTTATTCCTCCTCCTGTGATCGTGGAGGAAGCGCAGCATCGAGAATCCATTTAAGAGTGTATTAAAATGCTGACCTCTCCTACACCAATTGTAATAAAACTTAGTGTAAAGTACATATCTAATATGGATATAAAGATTTTGCAGGGATTTTGAATACTATATTGTTTTTGCTTTATTGTGATACTGCTCTGGATCATCAGTGATCTTACTTTCCATACCAAGAGAAAACAGAAGATTGTTAAGACTAAGAGGAAGTTTTAGCTAAACCTGCTAGAAATTCAACTGACTAAAACTGTTCTGCACTGGGGAACTTTCTTGCCCTTATCTAAAAACAACAAAGGGGCAACTGCAAGGCTGTCTCAAACTAATTATATAAATTTTATTTTTAACAGAATCTAAACAGATATAGAAATTAAAGGAATTTTCTTTAAAAAACTATGGAGGACCTAAATGAAACAGTGAAGCTCAGCAGAATCTGCGCGCACAGTGGTAGGTATGCAGGTTGGGGGAAAGAGGGGAGGTCAGTGAATACTTTCTATGGGAAAGGCCAAAGCCAGTGAACCTGGAAGAGTGTGTTTTTCCAGTTCATGTAGCCACCTTCCGGATGATTAATTTATACTGTTCTCATGTGCAAATGTTATCATGGAGAAAACAGTAAATTAAAAAATGTACAATATGCGCTATCTTAATCAAGCTTCAAAGAATATGGCTTTAAATAGAAGAAGAAAGTATAAAATACTCCTGACACTGTATAAACTGAAGATGGATGCATAAATCTATTTTAGATCGGAAAATGAGATGCTCCCAATTCATCACAGCCTTAAGCATATTTTCAAATGCTGACAAATCACTTTGACCCGAGCTCTTGTCTGAACTTTTGTTAACATTCACAAGAACTATAGAACAAACAGAAGTAAATGTGAGAATAAATCTGGAATCTCTAGGTCTGCCAGACAGATTTATAAGCCTCTAATTCAAAACATGGATTTAATAAAGAGTTCTCTCGATTATTCTCAGAACAGCCACTGAGAGAAATGGTGTCAGAGGAGAGGTTAGAGACATTATGATTTGGTGAATTTTGCAATTTTAAGGGATGTGTCATACTCATTGTTAAGGTGTCCCCCCCCCCAATTTTGCGTGCATCTAAACACACTGTGCACACAAAGCTTGCATACATAAGGCAACGATAATTTACCTGAATCAGAAACCCCCTTATGGGGGCACCTGTTTAGTTAAAGAGTACATAAATCAATTCATCTTTAAAAAATTCCTTTCCAACCTGAAGTAAAGGGCTCTTAAACTAAAAGCACAGTGTCCTTGCAAGAAGGCTGTGCCAACGTAGAATCACAGAAAGTGAGGGTTGAAGGGATCTCAGGAGGCCACATCTAGTCCAACTCCCTGCTCAAAGCAGGACTAGCCCCAACTACATCATCTCAGCCAAGGTTTTGTCTAGCCAAGGTAGGACCTATCTTAGATAGGACCAGGTGACAACCAGGCAGATAGGAAGTGATTCATAAATACCCAAAGAATCCCTTCTGGTGGACAGGCTCTTATGTTGCTGCTGTGGGTATCCTGGGTTAAACATGCCTAGAAAATGTTACAGTGTGCATAGTCTAGCTTTTTAACTTGTTTCCATGAGAGATGTTAGTTTCTACATTAGTTCAGGTAAGTTCAGCATCTTCATCAACAACCTGGAAGATAAGATGCAGTGTACCCTCAGCGAGTTTGCAGATGACACCAAGCTGGGGGGAATAGTAGATACGCTGGAGGGTAGGGCTAGGATTCAGAGAGACCTGGACAAATTGGAGGCTTGGACCAAAAGAAATTTCATGAGGTTCAACGAGGACCAGTGCAAAGTCCTGCACTTCAGACGGAGCAATCCCATGCACCAGTACAGGCGGGGGCTGACTGGTTGGGCAGCAGCTCTGCAGACAAGGACCTGGGGGTGACAGTGGACAAGAAGCGGAACAGAAGCCAGCAGTGTGCCCCTGTTGCCAAGAAGGCTAATGGCATCCTGAGCTGCATTGGCAGGAGTATTGCCAACAGATCGAGGGCAGTGATTCTTCCCCTCTATTCAGCACTGGGGAGGCCACATCTGGAGTCCTGTGTCCAGTTGTGGGCCCCCCACTACAGAAAGGATGTGGACAAATTGGAGAGAGTCGAGCAGAGGGCAAAAAAAATGGCTGGGGGCTGAGGCACGTGACTTGTGAGGAGAGGCTGAGGGAACTGGGCTTATTTAGTCTAGGGAAGAGAAGACCAAGGTGGGACTTAACAGCAAGCAGCCTTCAACTCCCTGCAGGGGGGCTGCAAAGAGGACGGAGCTGGACTGTTCTCAGTGAGGGCAAATGACAGGACAAGGAGCAATGGGCTCAAGCGACAGCAAGGAAAGTTGAGGTTGGATATTAGGAAAAACTCTTTCACAAGGAGGGTGTGGCAGAATGCCCTCCCAGCATCTTCCCAGATTTTTTTTGCAAAAATGTTGCTGGTCTAATAAAAGACATCATGTCTACTATGAGTCCTGATTAACAGACCCTCCGTTAGGTTTCTCCTTGCTATTGTGTCTTCACCCGTCTCAATGTGGTCCTGGTCACTGCAGTGGGCAGGCAGCCCTCCCTCCACCTGTTTCAGGTAACCCTGAGTTATAACCTGAGCTGGAGGCATTCCCGAGGGAGGCGGAGCCTACTCCACCTTTTGTCAGTTTCCCCGCCTCTGTGGGTCACGTGACTAGTTCTCTCACTTGTCTCTCAACCTGGTTGCCTGGGTTACCCTAGCCCCTATTGTTTGGGAAACTTACCCCATGGCAAGGGGGCAGGAGCCCAACACCACCAGGTGACCAGTATTGCTTTTTAAACCGATTGGTTGGCATCCAAAACACCTGCCTGATTGGACCTGGAAGGTGAGGTCACTTGATATACAGCTTGCAGTACAGCAGTGGCATAATCAATGGCTTCCAGGCCACACTGTTTGCTCTAAGGTTATTCTTTGCTGCTGCTCTATCCTGTATCCTACCCCAAGCCTTTCTCCTGTACCAATAAAGTTCTCCTCCAAGCATAGCGTGGGAGACTTATTGGGAGAGGGATTGGGTTATGCCTTGGTGCCCCCTTGGTCCAGCTGACTAATGGAGGCTCTGCTTTTTTTGCTTCAGGCTAAAGGAAGCACCCTAAGTTCTAGCAGTGGATCGAGCACCCTCTAGGACTACAAGGCCTGCGTTTCCCAGGGGGCGCAGGGCCAAGAACAGTCCAGACCCTGGGTGGTGGCAGCAGTACCCCCAGGCTCATCCAGGAAGAGGGTCAGCCGGATGCGAGGTGACCCAGGGAGGC